TTAAAAAAAAATTCAAAAAAACTTTGAATTTACTAGCATTTAAAACATTAAACCTTAAATATAAAAAATCAAAGAATAAATAGTAAGCCACATTTCGGGGGTAAAAGAATTTTTACTGGTTAAACATTCGGCATCGGTATGTTGATGATCTATGAATAAAGATGATTCGTTCCACTATTCTTTCTTTTTCTTAATTTGTATATTTACGCATGACGAATTTATTGCAATTGTTTATGAAACTGTATTTAGTTTATCGAATATCTGATATATTATTTATCGAAAATATATCATGGCACACTTAAAAAAATTAAAAGAAAACCTTAAATTTATTATTGTCGGTCAAAACCGTAAAAAGCCGAAGAATATATCTTCAATTGTCATTCTTTTAAAATTGGCTTTTCTTAAAAATGAAATAGAATAAAAATTTATAAGGTCCAGTTTAAAAAAAAAAGTTTTCGCTAAACTGAATTTTTAAATCTTAACGATAACGATAACGATAAGTTGCTTACGTATAGACTGCATGTATCAAAGTTTTCACTAAAATTTTTACTATTTTAATATTGAATGTAATTCTTGGCGTTCCAAAATTTCCAAATGTATATTTTATCATATTTATTTGTGCCGTACAATGTTTCGATCGACAAGGAGACGACCGGAAAACAACATATCGACAAATTATTTTGCTTCAAAAAAAAAAAAATAAGCCCAAAATTCAATGAAATAAGATAAACAAATTGATAAACTATGTTAAGCATTACGAATCAATTCTTAGCCGAAAAAATATATACATTGCATTTTTCATTGTTGTACTATTGTAAGAAAAATAAATATCGAGTTTTGCCGAACCAAAAATTATCATATTAGTAACCGAGAATGATATAATTAGTTCCATATTAAGGCATAACACTTTCTTGAGATACATTGAGATACATCTTGCAAAAGTACCACTATCGTGCCATTCAGCCACTTCTGTATTAGTTAGTAATTAATAATTCTTTAATGATACGTTTAAAAATATTGATTTTTGATTAGCTTTATCTTTTTTATATAAATACCAACTTTTTGACTTTTTTTTTTTTTTTTCCCTCACGGATATGTACTCAGGTTGACTACAAGGCCAAGGCCCTTTATTCCATCTAAAAATTTTTGATCTAAAATTTATTGGATTGTCTAGAATAAAAATCTTCGAACCTCCATAATGTCGGCTGAATTAGATAAAAATAATTCTGACTCTTCTTCATCCGATGAGATTACTACTATTGTCGTTATTGATGATAGTGGTGGTTCTAAGGGTGTTACAACTTCACACGTTGTTCAAAAACATGGAATCATTATCAATGATAATTTTAAACCTCTTTCTACCTATGAGGCTGAAAAGAGATTAATAACTTATGGCAAGAACGTTATTGCTGCGTATCAACCTTTACGATGGTATCATATCATTTTTAAAAAAAGTGTTTCGTAAATTATTTATTACTTGTATTTATGTGTATATTTATATATATGTATATATTTTTATAGGTATACAGTACTTTACAACTCAACTCTTCACCCTTTCAATCTCATCTTGATCGGTCTTGCAATTTTCAGTGGTGCTACTCAGGATTTTCCTACAATGTCAATTTTATTATTCATGGTTATTTTATCTGTCGGAATCCGTTTCATTCAAGAATATAAGAGCGAAATTGCTGCCCAATCTCTCAAAAATATGGTTAGCAATCGTGCTTCCGTTATTCGCCTTTATTCTCCACCTGATACTCGGTAATTATCATTTTTATAAACCTTTTATTATTTATTTTTTATTATTTTTTTATTTATATATAAACATATTTTTTTTAATTGACTCAATTGATTAATATTATTAGTGACCCAACTTTTGATGATTTAGAAAAAATGGATCGTGGAGATACTGTTGAATCGGATATTCCATTGGAAGATATCGTTCCGGGTGATTGGGTCAAACTTTCTGCTGGTGATCTAGTACCCGGAGATTTACAATTAATCTCGTCAAAAGATCTTTTTATTTCTCAAGCTTCTTTAACAGGTGAATCAATTCCTGTTGAAAAATTCACTGCAGATATTCAACAACCTCCAATTATACCTGAACCTAATGAAAATGTTAAAATGGAAAAATCTGAACTTGAACGTCCTGATCTTTGTTTCATGGGAACTTCTGTTGTAAGTGGAACTGCTACTGCTGTTGTTCTCAAGACTGGTTCAAATACTTTCTTTGGTGTTATGGCAAAAACTCTTGCTAGTAGACGATCAATCAATACTTATGAAATTAGTATTCGTCGTATTAGCTTTTTATTCATTGGAATTATGTTATCGATGATGCCTCCAGTTTTATTATTACAAGGATTTTTAAAAGGAAGTTGGAAGGATGCTGTACTATTCGCTGTTGCTGTTGCTGTTGGTTTAACTCCTGAAATGCTGGTATGTTCCTCTACTTATATTTTCCTTGATTTTTATTTTTATTTTTATTTTTATTTTATTCTTTTATTAATATTTGACTTTTTATTATTATGTATAAAAAAGCCAATGATCGTAAACGCTAATTTAGCACGTGGAGCTATCGCCTTGTCCAAACATAAATGTATTGTAAAGAAACTTGATTCTGTTATTAATCTTGGCAGTATGGATGTTTTATGTACGGATAAGACAGGTATATATCATTATCTATGTTTTATTTATTTATTTTTATTATCTAAAATTTTAAAATCTAAAATTTAATAAAATAATAATTTTATATTAGGAACTTTAACCCGTAATAAAGTTGAACTTATAAAGCATCTTAATTATCAAGGAAACACTTGTCAACTTCCTTTATTTCTTGGCTATCTCAATAGTTATTTTCAAACTGGTCTTAAAAATTTAATGGATGTAGCTGTAATTGAATATTATGAAAATCCTGAGTTAAATCGTCCTGGTTTTACAAATTTACCTCAACATTTTATTAAAGTTGATGAAATTCCTTTTGATTTCGTTAGAAGAAGAATGTCCGTTATCTTAGAATCAAATAAAGATGATCATCGGTTCTTGATTTCTAAAGGTGCTTTGGATGAAATGTTATCTTGTTGTAGTCATATTTATATTGGAAGTGGTAAAGACTTTGTTGATGGAATTTTTCCTACTACCGATATTGTCCCTTTAACTCATGACATTAGAGATTCTATTAAGAATTTAAATAATACTCTTAATGATGATGGTTTAAGAGTTATAGGTGTTGCATTTAAACGTATGAAAGAACGTGTTGAATTCTCTGTAGCTCATGAAAGTAATTTAATTCTAGTTGGTTTATGTGGTTTCTTGGATCCTCCAAAACAAAGTGCTAAACCTGCTATTGAAGAATTAAGAAAATATAATGTTGAAGTTAAAGTTCTTACAGGTGATTCACCCGTCGTTTGTCGAAAAGTTTGCGAGGAAATTAATCTTCCAATAAAATCTATTGTAACTACTAACGATCTTGAAGGTCTTGATGATACTCAATTAGAAGAAATCGCTGAAAGGGCTACAATATTTGCAAAATTAACTCCTTTACAAAAAGCTAATATTGTAAATGCTTTGAAAAGACGTAATCACATTGTAGGTTTCTTAGGTGATGGAATAAATGATGCTCCTGCAATCCGTGAAAGTGATTGTGGAATTAGTGTAGATGAAGGAACTGACATTGCTAAAGAATCTGCTGATATTATTTTACTTGAAAAAAGTCTTATGGTACTTGCCTATGGTGTGATTCGTGGAAGATTAACTTATGGAAATACTATTAAATATATTAAAATGGCTATTTCATCAAATTTTGGAAACGTTTTTAGTGTTTTGGTTGCATCTATTTGGTTACCTTTCCTTCCTATGGCACCAATTCATCTAATTTTGCAAAATCTCTTGTATGACATTTCTCAAATTAGTATTCCTTGGGATAGAATGGTAAATATAAAAAAAAAATTTTTTTAAGTATACAGTGAATTAAAATACTAGTTGTTGTCTAATAATTAATCATTGTATTATATTTTCAGGATCCCGAATTTTTGGTTCATCCAAAACGATGGTCTACAAAAGGAATCTTCTGGTTCATGACACTTATTGGACCAGGGAGTAGTATTTTCGACATATTAACATTTACGTTCATGTGGTTTTACTTCCAATGCAACGATCCCAATGATGATTACAAAGTTGCTTTATTTCGTGCGTATAACATTTAATAAAGTTATAATCCATTAATTTTTTTTTCAATTTTGATAATAATTTCAAATTATTTTTTTATTAAAGAATCTGCATGGTTCGTCGAAGGTCTGCTCACTCAAACACTTATTGTCCACGTGATCCGAACGCCAAAAATTCCATTAATACAATCAACAGCGGCATTACCGGTTGTCCTGTGTACTTTGGCCATTATGGCTATTGGAATTAGTATACCATTTTCTCCAATACATGATTATCTAAAAATGACACCATTACCACCAATTTATTTCTCATACCTTTTTGGAGTTTTGGTAGGTTACATTACACTTACTAGCTTCGTTAAAGTGGTGTATATTAAAATATTTAAAGAATGGTTGTAAAAATAATGTATATGAGTAACACTGTAATATTAGTATTTATTATACGTAATAGATTTTTAATCATGGCATATTTTGTGTTGGCGGGGGTGGGGTTTTTTTTATTATTATTATTTTAAGAGATTATTGTATAATATGTTTACTATTACTGTAACGTTAAGCGATTAATTTTTGTTTCATGTAATACTTTTTTTTAAATATATTGTCAAAAATAAATATATTTTTTTTAAAAGCGCCAAATTTTGAGATTATATACGTAATCAAATATTATTGTGTGTAATGAATTCTTTTATTATGGTTTTAATTTTTTTACGTATTATGTTTAATTTTTTTTTTATTATAATTTTATTAGTAACTTTAAAAAGCAATAGCACTTTCTAAATTACTGAATTAAAAAAATAAATTCAGTAATTTTGTTCGGATACGTCTTACTTCACCGACAATAATTTCACCGACAGCTCACTTAGCCGACATCACGCAACTAATAAAACGCTAATCCTAACCCTATGTGATGTCGGCTAAATGAACATTCGGTGAAATGATTGTCGAAGTGAGTAGCACCGGAAAAAAATTTATGTTTAGGATTAAAACTTAATATATAAATTTAGCAGCATTTAAAATATTAAAAAAAAATTCAAAAAAACTTTGAATTTACTAGCATTTAAAACATTAAACCTTAAATATAAAAAATCAAAGAAT